TGATATAAATAAATAATAAAAAGTACATAATAAATAAATAATAATAAATGAATAATAAGTAATAAACAGTCAATAGTTATGCATAAATTATAACAAACATGAAAATATCACTATGCATTTGGTTAACAATTAGTGAAGAGAAGTGTTTAGATAACAGGCAATTAATCTTATATTAGTTTATAAGAGCAGGTGTAAAGCAAAACTAAGCAATAGCATGCAAATGTAAACAAGATGCAATAAATTAGCAGAACAACATCCTTTTCTAATTTTTTATGCATACATATAGTGCGACAACATCTAAACCCATATGGTAGGGATTTTCGTACCATATAAGGTTTATTACCTCTCATTGCCTTTTTTTTATGTCGGCTCCCTGTAGAAAACAAAATTCATGTAATGCATTACACATATGAAGCAACAGAATAAGTATCAATTCATAAAATACCATTCAAATGTGTTTGAAGTTGTTGTATTGAGTTCAGACACACATTACACACATTGCACTTCAGTCCATTTGTTTCTTCATCTTTTGTAAATGCTACTTTTGTTTCTTCAAGAGATGCCATTATATTTTTCGATCTAATCTGTAAAACAAATGTATATCTGTACATTCCTGATTTTTTATATTCCTTTGTTTTATTTGTGTCAAAATATAAAATGATTTTCTTTATTGTGTGTGTTACCTTATACTTCAACTTTTTATTTCAATTGTTTTTTATTTTCTTCCATTGTTTTACTTGTACAAACCTGTTTAGCATGACGTGCCCCTTGCAAATGTGTATCTAATACTGTTTGACTCGTAAAAGAAAGATCACAGTCATCACAACGAACAAGAGGTTTCTTTGTGGGTAAATTTCCCATTATATTATCTACTACAGCTTTGGTTACAGGGTCATTGAGGCCAGGATTCATTACACTTTCTGATGATACAGCCATTGTTTAAACTAAAAATTTAACGCATAAGTGGCACACTCACTCATAATTACACTGAAATGTAATTTTACAGTAACATAAAAGTTGCATATTACACTGTTATTATATATTATAATATTAAGACTAAAACGGTTACAGTTCTTTGAAAGTTATTTTCTATTACAATAATATGCAAGCGAAATAAATTAATTACTGTTTATTGAAAATAGTAATTATTAATGTTCTTGTAGTATAGGTAGTATATATTTATAAATTATTTGTGTCTTTCCAAATGTACCTATCTGTTGTATATTGTAGAAGAAAATCAAATTCACTAATGATTAGCTCGTATAATAAACTGTACTTTTTCAATGAATCTCAGAAGGTACTTAGCGGGCAGTCATGTTTATAAACGAAACGAACTTTTTCAATACCCAGGTATACAAGTCTTCAAGTTGGTTGCCTGCTTGTTTTAGGAACATTATAGTGGAGTGTTAACAATTCAGTCCCATATTTGATAGGTTCCGAGAGTTCCTATAGTGTCGTCATTCAAGGCGCGCTCAGTAATTACTTCACGAGTCAAAATATTGCGCACAATTAACTTGATAGAAGTTTGAAATCAATTGATAAAAATATGCGTATCTGCAAATACTATTGCAAATTGAACTACTCAAGCAATGGTGAAAGTACAGGAAAAATATGGAGAAACGGTACCGTAAATTAGTATTTTAAAGTATTTAAATACTTCGTAAGCAATTATTTCTTGTTTTTATTAAACTTCATATATAATTACAAATATTTGTCTTGTTAAATATTCAACTTTTACTTTTAAATGCGTATCTGCATTACTTATTATTTACATATTTCTGTCAAATTATTGTCAATGAAATTTTAAATTCCGTAGTGATATATGTGATACTTTTACGAGCAAGATGTTATTTTTTCCTTAACAAAGTTGGGATAAAAAGTTTGAATTTATGAAAAGTTTATATTTAAAATTTTAAGAAATGCCTACTGAGTCAATGGGCAACTTGGTTTCTACCGTAAGGAAATAAAGTTATTCATATTGAGAAAGTTTGTCCGTTAAATATGCATAAAATCAAACAGGTGAATAAAGCTTTGCAAAAGATCGATCCAATCAACGGTTTTCGAAGTGCGATGTTGGACGTGGTAGAGCGTAATATTCGCAGCTTAAGAAGAGCAGCCAATTAGAAAAGTTGGCGAATATCGTCGGTCGGTACTTAAGCGCGTGTGTTTGTACGAGTGCATATAGGTGACGGTCGCGAAATATAGTAGCAGCCATCTTATATTTTGTGTCGGAGAAAAACAATTTGGCCGTACAAATGTTTCGTGATTGTCCGTGAAGCCGCTTGAGAACGGGAGGCGTGCGCTCGATGAGGCGTGACGTTTTTCGACCCTAGCCCGGACCACTACATTAGCAAAGGTTCGTATTCGTAGAATGTTACTTTCTTCTTCGGTCACAGCAAAAGCGACCCCCTTGCGAAGTGCTTATGAAGAATCCGGTTTCGCAGTCAAAATATTCCGCCGTTTCTTTCGTCGCTTTTTTAAAAATAGAGTTGCCCGTGTTGCTCACTACTGGGTTACGTTCTGTTGACGACGGCATCGTGCCGTCTTCGAGTGCTTCGTGTAAAAGTTATGCAATCAGCTGATCGTCCAGCTACCGTCTGTCACTTGTCAAAGATAAATGTCAAAGCGATTGGTCTAACCTGATACACGTACAATATGAGTCGCACATAGATGATAGCACAATTATGAGTGTGTCTACAACGTCGAAAATATTTATGCCTCAACGAATGTTATAAATGGCAATTTATAGAAATTCCCTGTCATGCAGGTGGATTGGTACGCAGGATATGAGCAGTTTGTCAAGCGCAACCTGACTCTGCTCCCACATCAAGAAGCAGTGCAGCAGCAGCAGGAGCTGCAATCACAACAGCTGGCTCATCCACAACAGACTGATATAATGACGTCCATGTTTGAACAACAAATCAAAAGCGAACCTATGGGGTTCTATTCTGTTGCTTCAAGCCGTTCGGATGGTTCAAATTCTATGGTGACTCTATCCGACGACCGTGAAGATCTTTCGCAACAAGAGGGTCATCTGCAACCTCAGCAACAGGCAACGCTACAATTGAATCAACAGGGTCAGCAGCAAACTCAGCAGCAAAATCAACAGCAAACACAACAGGGTCAACAACAGCAGAGTCAGAGTGTGCAACAAGAAGTTCCAAGCCGTCAGTCGACAGGTCAACAAACAGTTAAAGAGGGTTCGCGGTCAAAACCACAACCCTGTAAGGTATGTGGCAAGGTGCTATCTTCTGCTTCATCGTACTATGTACATATGAAACTTCATTCGGGCAACAAACCATATCATTGTACTGTATGCGAAGCAAGTTTTTGCCGGAAACCATACTTGGAAGTGCATATGAGGACACATACAGGAGAACGACCTTTCCAATGTGAGTTGTGCTTGAAAAGGTTTACGCAAAAGAGCAGTCTTAATACTCATAAGCGGGTGCACACTGGAGAAAGACCATATGCCTGCGACATATGTCAAAAACGTTTTGCTGTGAAAAGCTATGTGACAGCACACCGTTGGAGTCATGTTGCAGAAAAACCTTTGGTCTGTGACAGATGTTCTCTCACATTCACGTCCAAAAGTCAATTTGCAATACACATCCGTACCCATACTGCAAGTACTACGTACGAGTGCAATATTTGCGGACGTACATTTGTACGTGACAGTTATCTGATACGGCATCAGAATCGAGTACACCGTGATATGAATCAAAGCAGTACAAATCACAATCCACCTACACCACAAAGCACAGGTGGCGGTACACCAGGTACCGGCTTCGAGAGTCCAGTTTGTGATTTGCGCTACAGCGAAGGACCTTCTTCGTTGGATGGTTTAGCAGGTTCTAAAGGAGGAATTGCAGCTGAGATTGCAAGTTTAGCTAAGCAAAATAATCTTCAACTTCCTCTACCGCTGTTACATCCGCAGACTACCAACTAGTGTTTAGATGGCAGCGTGTCCGAGTCCCTACCGCAGCACCAGTCACCGCAGCAAGTAGTATGTCCCACCTCGGCGTCTTCGCCATTCATACTTAATTCACCTGTCTCTCACGAGCACACCACACCGCAGAGTGTCTACCAAACGACAGGTTCTTCCAGTTCACTGGATAGCCTCAACTCCCAACTCTATCCGCAAATGTCATCCCCTATAGATTCATCGGAGTCGCATCATCAATCGCATCAACTGCATACGAGTTCTCCGATCTCGTACCCCGAATATATTCAACGCAACAATGAATAGTCAGTTTATGCCAGCAATAACGATTTTTACCACGAACGGAGTGACGATTTGCATCATCCGAGCTCTCGAACGCGGGCTCTTCGATCGCGTGTCATTTAATGGTGCTGGTTAAACAAAGTGCCTAAAGAGCATCCATTTTCTGGATCATGACGGATGCTTACTCAAATGTGGATTAACGATACTAAAGAATTTTTACGTACAGATCTTATTTCAGTATTTTAAAATGGAAATGAGTGGATCAATTCTAAATTGATTACGGTTTTGCACATGTCTCACTGATACTTCTCGGTCCATTTGATGGATTCTACATTGACTAGCGTATTTTAACGAGAGTTAAATAGCACCGTTCGAAGGGACGTGCACACATACGTACGGCATACGATCGACATATCCCTCAATTGCCAGATTTTCCTCGTTTTACTGACCTGTCGTCGTGGTTACATCGATGTTAGCATAAACGTATCTACGCGAGTTTTCCAAGTTTCCGCACTTCTTGATTTACCTGTTTTTCAATCACATCTGCGAGTACATATACACATATGTATATATATATGTATATTTTATATATATGTGTGTATGTATATATATATGTGTTTGTGTGTGTGTGTATATATATTATGCGCGACCATTACACGTACACATATTTATATTATATTTTTAAAGGAGTTTAGTCACTTGGATCTGTGATATAGATAGTAATTATTATCTACAACATTTAAACTATTGGTTTAATATTTTCATGATATCAAAACGAGGAAAAAAAAAATAATAAGCAATGTCACTGAGCGATGTAGCTATCAGAATTTAACGGACATTGGTATCTACCGAAGGTGTTTGGTAGACACCCTACTGTTACTTTTACAAACAAACAAACAAACAAAAACAGAAATATTACTATTACTTATGCTACAACACCACTACTGTTACTACTACTACTACTACTACTACTACTACAACTACTACTACTATTACTACCACTACTAGTACTACTCTTACTAATACTTTCACTACTACTACCACTATCACTACCACCACACCTCCACCGACATTTCCCTAACTATATATTGCTCTCGCTATTATTACTATACTACTACTACTATCACCACTACCACTACTACCACTACTATTACTACTACTACTACTACTATTACTACTACTATTACCACCACTACTACTACTACTACAACATTTATTATTATTATTATTATTATTAGAAACACACAAACGTTACTTCGTTTTAGCAACACGCATAGCTCGTGTACTGATAGGATCTGTATCCAGTCGTCATGGTTTTTTCTTAGCTTTAAACCTTCATTCTATTTTATGTTTTTTTCTTCCCCTTTTGCTTCTATTTTTTTTTTTTTTACCCCTCCCTTTCCTACTTCGTTTTTATCTAAACCCCCCGTCCCAATTAATAATTTTACATACCTCACCTTGCATGCGTCTGAAACGATGAAAACGTGATAGAAACGGTAAAAAAGGTGTTGGTATTCTTTTATCATATAGGACTATTGTACAGCTTTGAATCAGTTCCATAGGTGTACTTACTTTTCACATATCGAAGTGTACTGTACACACAAGATACATATTGTACATACGTATACATATACATATGAATGTATAATAAAATGATGAGCGGATGTGCAGATCGTAAGTTCTAAGTACTAGGAGTGTAATAGCAGGGCTGTTAATTTTTTTTTTTTTTCTTCTTGACTACTATTAGAGATTAGGTTTTAGCGATTATGATTATTCTTACTTCGAGCCGTGATGGCTCTTATTTACGATTAATCACGATTATTATTGATCCTTTTATCGCTAACGCCAC